AACACTACAAAACAATTGACTTTCTCAATTTTATTTGAAATATTTACATTCATCGCACTGCTGATGCCTGAATATTTCCTGAGGTATATTTGCTAAGGTGAGTCTTCTTCATCCCTGCTGACATTTAAATTAATTTACAATATAGTACACGAAAAATACAATCATCTGTCAAATATATGCATAGGGGCTTTTTACATCAACTGTGACACAAATATATAAACACGTAAACGAGCTACAGCATCATAACAGACACTGGGCCTGATGCAAGAACCACCAAAAAAGTGATTTAACAGAATTTATGACATTCAGCAGTTTTCTTGTAGTTTGTAATTGCATGTTTGGTCCAAGTGATGTGTGTGTGTGCTCTAAAAAAGTGTGAATCAAATATAGATAGCCTGCCATCAACAATAATAATACCTTCATGGCTGTCACGTCCTCCCTGACCGCCTCTCATCATGCTTCTAAAGGATATTTTTAAGTGTGTAATTGTATGTCAAACCGTTTAATTATTATTTCATTGTTTTGGATCCTCTACTACGACTTCTGACGCTGCTAAACTTGTCAAACGGAGTGGAACAGGTAGCTTTGTGTGATAGTTGTTGGGGCTTAAACGTGCATGTCCTCACGAAAAGGTGGCACTTCTATACCTGAAACGAGTTTGGAGTTTAGCAAATCCAACGTGGAACACTTTACACTTTCACATCAAGTACTTCTTCATAAAATGTGAGCTAAGTTTAGGATGAACTTGTTAAAACGTTCCTGCATGAGGCCTAATGTCATCATTCGCCTCTAGTTACAAACTGTCGAATTAGAAAGATCACAACACTGACAACAGTTGGAGAAAAACGTTGTGACGTTTATGACTGTGCTCCATGATCCTTCGGTCCAGTTGCTTGCAGCGCTGCAAGAGAATTGGGTGCATGTAAGTACAAGTAGCTCTATTTTACAAAGAGACACTTAAAGGTAGAGTAAGCTGTTCTAATCAAATACACTTTTTGTCAAATTCAGTAACTATCTCCTCACAGTGCGGTAACTATCCTGGCTTTGTAGATAAGAAAGCGGTTTGGACCAATGCACACAACACTATTCTGGCCGACCAGTAACGGGTCATTCCTGCTCGTGCACAGGCACAGATTACATGCACAGGACACACTTATGAACCTCTACACGTTTCAACAATAACAGCTTGAATTCACAGGATTGCTAAAACAGCAGTTCCCCTTGTTTTTTTGCAGCAGGTGGTTCTTGTGCAGCAGGCGCTTGTGGAGCAGGTGTGTGTTGTGTTTCTCACATCTATTTGTTTTACTTCAACTATGAGAAAGAGACATCCACTACCAAGCTGGAGCATTGCCAACTTGTTCGTGATGTTGCCATGGCAATCCATGAATTTGGGGGGGAATGTGGAGGTGTGGTTTGTTTGGCTACTGAGTTCAAATATTAAACTTTCTCAGGAATGGCTCGCTCTACCATTACCTGCCTGGGTACTTCATTAAGAAAAATCTAGCAATCTCAGGCAATGCTAATTTTTTTTTTCTCCAAATAATTTAGCCAACGCTTTATTCCAAATGAAAATGAAAATCCATACCTGCCAAAGAGGTCGTTGCAGCAGGTTTGAATGTTTACATCTGTGGCGTTGAAGACTGATTCCTTGAACAGCCCCACGCAGTCGAGTGGAGGAACAAAGAGAATCCCTGAGGAACAAAGTGAGAACCGCTCAGCTAATCTGCACTGCAAGATGCTCCAGACATGCACTAGAAGTAAATACTTGAGATTTACCTGCAATACAAGCATTGACAAGAGACACACATGTCCCAGTGATCATGGCTCTCAACACCAAACCTGAGATGTCAGTCCTTCTCAAAGGGCAAATGGAGGCTTTGAGAAAAGAATATAGAGTCAGAAATCTACACGGTGAGAGTGTTGTGAATCAGGACGAGAAAAGATATGATGAAATACTCACATAAGCCTCCAATCACAACACCCAGTGAGCTGAAATTTGCAAACCCACAAAGGGCATAGGTGGTGATGATTTCTGCTCGGACCTGAAACAGGAAAATCATTTAAAGTGCACACAGTGTAAAACAATCCCCCCCCTCCAGTGCTGATGAAATTATGCCTAATAGCGCATCCTTACTGACGGTATTTATAGTTCAGCTAAGAGCATTTACTCACAGATATCCATTGTCTTTCGCCTCCAATAATTTCCTCTAGACCATTGAGTCTGTTCATCTTCAGTTCAGATAATTTCTGATAAGCCACAAACTCATTGAGGAAAAGCTTTGTGCCGATTAGTTCAGCCACAATGAAGGTCTCCTCATAAGGTACTCCCATCATGAAGGCCACAGGCATAAACACGTAGGAGCAAATTAGCTGTGAAAACAGAAACAGTCACGGTTGTTTGGATTTTACTGCACGTAGAGGCTAAATTCACAGGTGAAGAAAGCATCATCTGTGAAATGTCAGCACAAACGAATATTTATGTCAGAACGGTCAGTTAAATTGTGAAATATCATCATAAATAATTACAAGATAAATGAGGCAACTATAAAACCTTTAACCTCTTAAGACCCGAGCTCTTGTTTCATATGCAGTTTTTGTTTCTCTTTCCTATTTGATCAGATCAAATAGGAAAGAGAAATAAAAAATTTTAAAAAATATATCAAGAAAATAAAAATACATTTTAAAAAATGCTATAAAAATATTACTAAATAAAATAATAAAACTAATATTGAAAAATTGAAAATAACTACTGTGGCACTATAACCCAAAATGTGATGTCCACATCAGGTCTTAAGAGGTTAAAGTATTAAATATTGCATTAGTTATCTGTTTTTTTGTTGCCACAACATACCTGAAATGTGACATCAGGATATCCCACCATGCCTCCAAGCCAACTCAAAGCTGCATTTATGAACCCAAGGATAGCAAGAAAGGCTATCAGATTGGCTGCGATGTTTGCAACAAGACCTATTGATGCAGATGCTCCACTGCTGACAGCTTCCAAAATGTTCCCTTCATCACTAAAGTTTTAAAAAGAAAATACAACAATATTTAATCACAGAGGTAGACCAAAAAATATGCAGAATTACATTATGGGAGGAAATAGAAAGATATACACACCCTGCAGCCACTTTGATATTCTTCTTTGAACTGAACTTACTCACTTCTGTCTCCGGGTAAGACAGCTTGGCGATAGCAAGCGCACAGGGAGCAGCCATCACAGAGGCCGATATTAAAGAAGATGCTTCGATCTGTAGAATAAAGTGACATATCATTTAGTTCACATACAGTACTTGACATTTTTATGCTGTGGTGAAATAATCAAGCTGCTAATCAACCAGACAAAAGCCATCATCACATAGCAGGCGCTAATGCTACAAAACACTACTTTTAAGGTTTAAAACACAACTTTTTACTGTGGTTATTAGCTTTTGTGCAATGTTAAGAACCATCATCGATATTAGTTGTCATTATCTGAACGCTGTGTCCTCTCAGCTTTTTTCACAGATAAAATACCAGAGATAAGATACAGAGTCAAACCTTTCCCCCCCAACAGCTAGTTTATTTTACTGCGTGAGTATACTTGGAGTTTCACTTTAATCTTCTAATTGTGATCGTAGCTTCTCATTAACAGAACAAAAAAAAAAACATTAAGAACCACCTGAAGTGTTCAAGTGATCTTCAAAACAAAGCACACCTGTAACTCCTTTTTAGTAAAACAGTTAAGAAACTGGTTTATTTTTTATCTTTTGAACTTTATTGGCCCCAATTTAAAAAAAAAAAAACATGGGTTGGGTTCTCTGGTGCAGCTTAGACGGATGTAATCCACCTTTGTTTCTATTGTGCAGTTCTGTTAGGTAAGGTGTCTTGTGCTTGTTCAGTCCAGAGGCCATTTCTGTTCTGTCTGTACATGCTGCTTTACATGTTATAAAATCCCTCCACAGCCTCTCTCCAGACCAAATCGACTGCCTCCTCACAGTTCATTCCCTTAGATACACAGTGTTCTGCTCATTCTTTACACTTGAACCATTCATTATGATGCTCCATGTCCTCACAGCACATTTTACTTTGTTTTACACCCACACCATAAAATGTTTTTCATTTACCATTTTACCAGTTTTACAGCTCTTTTATTAGCTTTTAAATGCTCCTTCCTTCCCGATACAGTTTACAAGTGTAGTTTTATTAATATTGTCATTATGTTGTTGTTGTATAATGTTGTTTATGGGCTGATAAGACCACAGCTTTATCTCACCCCAAACGAGATGAACGCGCCCATGACGCTGCCCGCAATTGTGGCAAATCCTCCAACCATAACAGCATGGATCTCAGATTTGGTCATGTCCTTTAAATAGGGGCGGATCAGCAGCGGCGCTTCAGTCTAATGCACAAGAAAACATCACATTAAATACATATGTTTTCTGCTGTTATTTATGATGACAAAGGTTCACACCAATTGTTGTCGTTGCAAAGACACCAAGCCTTGTCCACAGTACCTGTCCAATAAATATATTGCCTGCCACACTCAAGGTCTCAGTGGGAGAGGTTCCCAACGTTATCTGCATAACCCATGAGATCTGCATGGACAAAAACACATGGCTCTCGGTCACTGGATATCACTGCAAGCAATGTACACACAGCCCTGTAGGAACATGCAAGATGCTGCAAGGTGCATGTTTTACCTTCAAGATGAGCCACTGCATTATCCCCAAAAAGTAAAGGACTGACATCACGCTGCTGAAGAACACAACAATGGGCAAAGCCTGAGGAGAAATCATATGCATAAATTGAACCACATTCAAGGTGAACCGTTAAGAATCTTCTTTGAGTGCCTGTAAAACTTACTTGAAAGGCAAAAATGTTGTCAATCAGATTCCCAAAAACAAACGATGAGCCATTTTTGGTGTAGTCAAGGAATATCTGTAATTACATGTAAAAGGAAATCAGTGTTTCATTATTTTAAATGATTATTTATTTCCTAAGTGCGTGAATTTATGACATTTATGACACAAGTAGTCATTAGGTTTTACAATAGCAACGTAAAGTTGCAACTCGGTAGAGACAGTCGGCTGAACTACGCACTAAAACATGCACATCATATGTCTGTGCGCGCATTGTGCTGACTCAACCCTCGAACGAAAGGGTGAGCAGCAGAAAAAAGTAGCTTTGAAGATAAGCATGTATGATCCAACCCGTTAAAGAATGTTGTGCCCAGGTAGATAAGAAGTGTCATGCAAGTGGGTTGTGCAAGCCAAGAGTGTATTGAATAAGAAATGTTGTGGGATCGTATCATATGAATGAATGGTATTTGCAATCAGTGGTCCTAATAAAAGAATGTTTTTGATAAAGTGCAAATAACTTTTATCAATGTTTGGGAATTTTTAGCTGAATATTTGTGGTGTCCATGACCAGCTGTGCAGCCTATCCTTCAGCACACTGAGGCCTAACTATTCGCTGATGTAAACTGGTGCTAACACCTGCCTTTTCTTTTCACTGTAACTGCATAATCCTGTTATTTTTAGTAGAATACACCTTTTATGAACCGTGTTTATTATTTAATTTGCATTAAAAACATCCAAATGTAATACCTGCACTTGAGTTCCAAGCCAGTCGAAAGCTATAAAACCAGGCTGTGTTCGTATAACGAAAAGGCCAATGCAGAACTGCAACCCGAGACCCCAAAACACAGGCCTCCATGATATCTAAAAAAAAGAAGAAAGAAAGCAGTTTGATAATCAATGCATCAGACAGTATCCATAAAATTCAGTGTTTTTCCAAGGAAGCTCCTCAGCTAAACCTTAAGATGATAGAGCCACAAGGCCAAATGATATCCAAAGTCTCAACTAAACAGATGGGAGATAACTTGAGTAATAAAACATGTTTCGAAACTGTTTTCCCGGCGCTCTCTATTCATTCTTGACTAGAGTCAGTGGTTGACTCAATGCAAAACTCACCGCTGACCTGTGCGCTGAGCAGAGGAACAAAAGCACGACGAACATGCACACACCTCCGAAGGAGATAAGCTGCTCAGGACGCTTGCTCGTGTCTATAACGAGCCACACCACAAGCAGGACCACAGCCACTAAGATGAAAACCCTGCAAAAAACGCAAGGACACGACAGACGTTCACTCGCCAACACGTTCCAACATGAGCAGCGCGTTTCCTGAACTTGAAAACCAGAAATCAATTCACCATTTCAGCCACTTCAAGTTTGCTTTGAAGAGTCTGACTACGGGTTTGAAACACCGACTGATCCTCTTTCCCTGGTACGTCTTCACAAGTTCCAGTGTTTGAGCAACGACAGCCAAACAGGTCAGGACAAAAAGAGCAGTGGCCCTCTTGAAATCCAACACACAGGCTGCGATGAAGTAGGCGATATAGCCTGCAGAAGAGAAAAGTGAAGTCAAAATGACATGATTATTCTTGTTTCATCATAAAACAATATGAGAAAACCTTGCTGTGTGCATGACATTTTTTATTATTACCTGCTCCGAGTAGTCCCAGGACAATGTACTTGAAGGTTTTTGAGTGAGCCTTGACATAATTCTCTGCAGCATCTATTGGCCTGGAGACTTGGCTGAAGTACAGAACAAATCAGAAGTAAAGTCAAATATCAGTCTCTTGAGTGATTAGAAAATAGTTTTGCTGTCATTATATAGATTTGTTTTCAAGTAATGTACACTTCCTAAAGGGTTCATTTTTGTAATAAATCGAATCAAATTTCCATCCTAAAGACTATAGAAGCACAGAAAACAGTCGCAGAGATTTTGTGTTGTTTGCATGTTATAGTACACACACATTAAAATATGCTTTCTGTGTACACATTAACACTACAGAGGTATTCATTTTTTTAAAAACTACAGCCAGAAGGACTGTACCCACAATAAAACAATAACTACTTTAGTGGTACGAACAGCAATCACTTCATCAAACACACCTGAAGTATAATCCCAAACCCTTTTTAGTCTTTTTTTCAGGCTCTCCTTCGATGCTGCTGGAATCAGTAATGTTGTCCTCCTAAGAAAATAAAGGCATCTTAGTAATTTTTTAAAAAGTGTATTATTTTCTTAATATAAAAAGCAACACATACCCCTCTATCAAAAGCCGGGTTGTCGGTGCCCCTTCCATTGGAGAGGGTTACATTTTTGAGCTGGACGTCGTTTTGTCTCGCTGAAAAACAGAATCATTGTTTACTTCTGTGCAGCAGTCGGTGGGAAACCAGCTTCAACTTGAACAAGCAGCAATGCCAAACAGCTCTCTGAGATTAGAAAAAAAAAAAAGACCTCAAAAGAGGACCGAATTCTTATCTTGTGAAAAACAGTGCACCAAAATACCTGTTCACTCCAGCAAAACAAACAGCTACATTTAAGGAAAAAGCAAGGCTAATGGCTTACTCATTGTGCGTCCTCCGTCCTCAGCAGGCGAATGCTGAGCTGTAAAAGGCACTACGGGAAAATATACTCTGCCCTCTATGAAACATCTTATCATTAATTAACAGACACGTAACGTACTGCTGTGATCTCTCAGGAAGTACACGGCGGAGGCTTTGCAGTCACACAACAAACGTGATTGAATGCACCTTATGAAGCAACATTTGATTAGACGTGATGTTGACCATGTTTCTCATTTGCCAAATCGCTGGAGCGACAGGTGATAAGACGTGAACTCTGTCTGGTTGGGCCTTAAAAGGCTGATATGTGATAATGCAGGAGAATACATGGTGGATTAATCACGGTTGAGTTCATCTGCTGGTGGCTGTGCTCCACCCATGTTTTAGGGAAGTCATAAAAAGTCTCCTCTTTGGAAAGAAAATGATCTAAAAATATATTTGGTCACAAGCTTGTGAATCAATAATAAGTCACGATTACACTGTCAGATATGCGGATGATAACCTTTCACATTTTCAGGTTTCAGTGAATAAAACCCTGATGATATAATAAGTTGGAATAGAAAGAAGGTGATATAATACTGTGGTTGTAATATGAGGGAATGTAGCATAAACTATCCTCATAAAACGGGGAAAAATTTGACATTAAATATCCCTGCTTATGCCCTAATCTGATACACAGAGCAGTTTTTGCTGTTAAAGCCAGCAATGTCAGAATAACTTGTAATTAAAAGTGTTTAGATTAAGTACGACAAGTACTTTGAGATCTGCTCAGTTAAATATATTGCAGTGCAGTTTTTACTTGACTTTTAGGTTGATGACTCATTATTGGATGTAATCACAGATGTCCTGCTGGTCTGATTCGGTTTGCTCTCACTCATAAAAACCCACGATTCCTTCAAAACGCAGTTATTCCACAGTTCATAACACACAATGAGACCTCGGAACGTCTGATTAACGATGATAAAAAACAATTCCTCTTGAAAGTGCATCTTTTTTTTTGTCCAGTTAGTATTTAGAAAGCCTTGCAAACCCTAAAAATAAATTGCAGAGATTAACAGCCCAATAGCAGATGCTGTAGCACCGCATTAAACGCATTGGTTCATTAACCAAAGACTTGTTTTTTTTATGTTTGCAGTCATAATTTCCCCAGTTTCACAGTTTAGATGTGGCAGTAAAAGGCATGATTGAGAAATACACTCATTGGGGACAAAAATACACCTGAGGGATAATCTATATAAGCTGTAATTTAGCCAACAATAAACTTTTATCACAATCTACCAAAATAAGTCTGTTTCCTCTCTCATATCACATTTCCAGTGATAAGTACTAACCGCAGATCATACAGCCACTTATGCCCCATACGTCTGTTATGGCATTGCCTCTGTTAGCTTTATACTTAATGAAGCTTTTATCTTTTTTTATCTGATACCAATGTGTGGGACAGTAAACTTCCCAGGAATTGGTGTCACTACTGACTAGCGGGAAGGCAGCCTGCTGAGGTCTTTAATGCCCTAAATTCTGTCTTACAGGCCACAACAAACTGGATTATTTCCTTAAAGTCTCAACTCGGAGGCTCCTGAGCTCTGCCCCTCCCCATCAAACAGCACAGGTGGAACTGGGCAGTCCTGCTTAAATTACTGACAACAGTTTAAAGTACATGGCAAGACAGCTGCTCCTAAATGATCCATGAAGTGTAAATATTACTGGGAAACTGATGAGGTCCATTGGAGATCCAGCTTATGTTCACATTGTAGACTTGAAAAATGCTGTCCTATTGTTACAGTTAATTAATCCGCATGATTTCTAATCTATTCAAAACTAATACTGGTTTCCAGGAAATCCTTGGAAGGTACATATAATTAAAAAAACAACCAGTAAACAAGCCCGTATCTCTACTCTGTAATGCCCCAGTGATCTACCACACATTCAGGTTGCTAAGTTGAACAAACAGCGGAGCCCATGCCTGGTTTCCTTTATTTACATCCCGATTATAAATTGAAAAGGATCAACAAAACGTCGGCCGTCACCAAAGACTGGAGGAGCATTATGAAGGACAAATGGGTTTTCCAGCAACATGCACTTGATAACTGTGACCTACTTGTAATAGAACACAACATGTCTGAAGAACTTTGTCCAGATTTCCCTATTCAAGGTAACAAAACTTTCATTTTGAAGGCGTTTTGATCATGCACAGTATTTTTTTTACACTGTATAACTGTATTTCGCTGTAGTTTCATTATATTTGGACTTGAGATTTTTTTATCAGGCAGGGTGTCCAGTGAAAGAAACAGTTATGTTGCATTATGGGAACTGTATGATTGTTTGTTTGTCGTCTGTGCAGGATATTTACATTTTTTTTATTATTATCGATTCTAAAAATGAGAAAAAATGTATTATGTTACATTTCTTTAATTGTTTATGTTGAAAAAGAAAAAAATGAGAACCAATGGAATCAACAATGTTTTTGAAGCCTGAGTTTTAAAAGTACACGAGAAAATTACTGAAGCAACCCTTTAATAAATCACAGACCACAACATTACCACAATTATAACCAACAAAAGCTGTGAGTAGACAGTGTTGAATGATGGCAGTGTAAGTGGTTAGAACCTGATAATCATAATACTGTTTGCTGCCATGCCAGGTATGCATGCAGCACACATTTAAGCTTTAGATTTGATTTTGGTGTTACGATGGTATTAACACGACATATTGCCTTCTTATTTTTTGGCAGCTTACCGTCAGTGTATAGCAGCACCCGAGCCAAGGGACAGAAATTTTGCAGTCCATGGCCCCACCTCTGGCCTGTAAGACAGCGGCGAGGGTTTATAGGGAAAAAGGAAAGCGAAGTTATCGTTAGTAGCATGTAGCCTAGCTATGTAACCCCAAAACAGCCTAAGCTAGCAGGCGAACGCTTAGCGCCCACAGTTAAATGGGTGTATAGCTAATTTACTGGAGCTGTTACACACAATCGGATCAAATGGTAAGCGTCCCGTACATCGAAATCTGACGGGTTTACTCTCTTCGCTGAATTATTTGCGCGCTAGCAGGTTGCTAAAATAGCTTGCTAGCTTGGCTCCGTTATGTGGCTAACTTGTTAGCTGGCTGCTGTGTTAGCTCCACTCTGAACTTTCATCTTGTTCGTAATATGGGTGGATTGGTATTTGATAACGCTAGGTGCACATAAGTCTATATTTAAGGCTAAGTTGCTTGTGTTGTGTGTTTATGCATATTTTGCAACGACATAACGTCAGCTGCATAGACGCAACAGATCTTGTCAACATTTAGCTTGCTAGCTAAAGCTAACGTATGGGACGTTTCCCAGCTTGTAAACTGTTGTTCCTCAGGTCGTATATTAACTGTCGTTTATGATAACAATTGTTTATGCCCAACTCGCAGTGTCCAGTGTGAAATAGAACACGATCATGAAAGATAATGCATTAAGTTGAAGCTGTGTGTGTTCTGTAGGTTGGTGAGACTGTGCAGCCATGGGTGACATGAAAACCCCAGATTTTGATGATCTTCTCGCAGCCTTTGACATCCCAGATGCCACAGGATTGGATGCCAAAGAGCCCATCCAGGGGAGCCATGAGGAGCCAGAAAGTCAGCTGAAACACACAGGGATATGCCTGGATGACAGCTTATTGAGCAACCAAGCTGTCACAGCAGCAGATATACCTGCTGTCAGTGTTATTGTGAAAAACACAAGCCGACAGGATTCGTTGGAGGGTTTCAGTGACAGGCTTCACTCAGGATCAGCTTTGCAAAATGGATTCAGGGGACAAGACACCTCCACTGACTCTGCTGACACAACGAATGCTGGCTTCTCCAAATCATTTGTCTCGGCTTTGAATGGGGAGAGTTCAAGAGAACTTCCTGGAAAGGCACCAATTCAGCATAAACCTGATGGAGCACCAATATTTTCAGAGTCACTTTCACATTTTAGCCCTGTCTCCAGTCCTGAAACTGAAGACATTCAGTGTAGTAGAGATGAAATGCATCCAGAACAAGAGAGACCCTGCTTCCCTGAAGCTTCACTTTTGGAGGAAGCTCCACTCCCAGACAATCCAAAGAACATGGATCTCTGCATGTTTGATAACTGTCAAAATGAGTCTGATATTCCCAAGAACACACAAAGAAGCAGAGCAGAAATTAGTAAAAGCGAGGAGTTTACTGACATCTGTGTCAGTAACAAAACAGAGAAAACATCAAGAGCACACAGTGCATTTTCCCCACCGAGCGTTAACCAAAACTTTATTGAGACAAACTGCAATTCAGGAATCACAATGGATGTGCCCTCCTCTTATTCGCATGTCAAATCTCAGACATCTAAATTTTCATCTTGTCTTGAAGCACTGGTGGCTCTGAATTCAAGAAAAGATCCCAGTGAGCCGATTGTTCCCAGAGACTCAGCAGTTCAGAATGATTGCATGAAGGCCAGCCCCAAGGTGCCCATATCCCCTCGAAGCCCCAGAAGTCCACTTGAAGCAGTGAAACGGTTAATGAAGCCTTCTGATAGCCCCGTAAGCATATGCAGCGACAGTAGTGGCAAAGCATCCCCCGCAGTGACATCTGGATCACCCCCAGCTATACCCAGGGTCAGAATTAAGACCATTAAAACTACATCTGGGCAGATCAAGCGCACCATCACCAGTGTGCTGCCTGATTCAGAAACTGATGAAGTTCATTCGGCCTATGAATCCTCTCCATCGATGAGCATGATGAGTGAAGATTCTTACTCTAACGTGTCTCCTCATCAGTCTCAAACGGTTGACAGTATTGTTGGCATACAGACTAAAGGTAACCCAGCTAGTACACATTTACCAAAAGTTTTACACAGAAAGTCTGAGGAGAACTCTAGGAGGTCAGGTAAAACACAGTCTGCAACAGTATTCCATAGTACTAGTGGTCCTATGAAAAGATCTGTTACACATCATGTGCAGAAACCAAAGAGAGCATCAGCATCAACAGGTCATACTACTAACACAAACTTCCTTCCAAAAGCAATGCA